TATTACATAAGATATTAAATATATTATCTTTGTATTGAGACTCAGAACACCCACCTCGAGATGATCTCCGTGGTAACGTTATTGACGAGCGTGGTGAGGTCATCAGTAAACTGGTCGGGGAAGCGAGCCTTGCGCCTCGCCTCGTGAGCGCCGCTCCAGTACAAGTATTCTACCATCGATTTCACCATCAGCTCGAATAGGGCCCTAGATGGTGACAAGGAAATATTATGGCTTTTTGTTGTGGTAAACGAATTAAAGAACATGATTAAGACGTGTTCTAGTTTTACCTGGGTTTATGTTTGTAAAAACATCTTTCATTTTATTATCTAAAAATCTAATTAGTCCGTTAGTTAGGTAGTGAAAAAATATTAGACACGTATTTTTTATTTTATCGTATAACAAAATGATACTTAGATATAACGAATCAAAGTTTAGGAGTGGGTGCTAAACCGTCATTTCTACGTATAAAATACACATAGAAGTGACGTCACGCGACATTTCACATCAATATACCGCCTAAAGAATCCGTTTCCGTAAAAAAATAAAAAATACGTGTGTAATGATTTAAAATAATCTACCAGACGGATATTAAAATAAAAATTAGTCATCTACCCTATTATAGGTAAATATCATAATAACCTATGTAGATACACTACTTACTTCATATAACAATAAATGTAGTAGATTATTGACAGTTAATCTATTATAACATCTATTCAATGTTTAAAAAGGTTGAATACCAAATAAGATTCAATGTTTGTGTCAGTATTGAATGAAGTTAGAATACAAAACATACCAAGAGTTCTGCATGGCGAGGTCCCTGGTGGATCCGGAAGCCACCACCCACTGCAACGCTAGCTCCTCGTGCAAGATCTTACAAGACCCGTCCGTCATCACTGAAGATAAAAGGTACCATTATCTTAGAAAGTTATTATTGTTTAAACGCGTTATTCTCAATGAGTACTGAGGGCCAAGCACAAATAACTATCGCATTCATAACGTAATAGTATCGAGCGCGTTCGGCGCTCTGATTGGCCGGCTCAAGTGAACCAACTAATCAGAACGCTTAACTCGCTCGATACTGTACTGAACTGATAAATTCTTTCAGCCTTGTCTAGCCTTGCTACTATTAAACATTCCGTTACTACCAATGGAGGCTACCTTGTTTTCAAATACCAGTTTTTTTTGGGACAAGCTCGCCCCATCTTCCCAAAACCGCTGCACCTCCTGTAAACCAGGATCTACAGTAGATACAACCATGAAAACACCGGAACACTGAAGTCCGGCGCGTCCCAGGGACATGAGTAACTGTCTTGGTTCCCGCAACAGAGTGAATCAGAAGATCAGAAGACACCTGTTGTCAATAATTTAGCAAGAGGTTTCTTTGTCCAATCACTATAACTGTCAAAAATGAATAACCAATGGTAATACACTACCTAATATGAAAAGACGAAAGGACACTAGATCCACCTGGTGAAATAATTCATAATTGTGGGTTTGAGAAATTAAGTTTATAGTTTTGTACCTGCAGGAGGCAGTGGCAGACCGATGTCTCTGTCAGTGAGTGAGGGTCGAGGGATGGTGCACTGGTACTGGATGTAGGTGGAGATCAGACTACTGCGGCCGTGGTTGTCACAGGTTGCACCTTCGTTCATGTTCTGGAAGGTAATTGAAAGATTATGTTACTATTGTACAGTATTTGGTGCCGTGTGGTAACTGTAGTTTTGTTTTTTTTAATGGGCGAATATCATCGAATGACTTGTCCTGCCTGGGTGAGGTAGGAGGGAATCGGGGATCCCTCCTGCCTCAGCCCGGAGTGTCCTTCGCGACAGCTGGGTTGCGAGGAGGCAGCGCTTCGCTGCCTCACGCGTCCAGCCTCCTCCTTAGCTCGGACAACTGCTTTGCAAAAGGAGGAGACGGCATCTCACGCTCCGCATCATGGCCTGTACTAGGCCCGGACGCGAAAGGTCGCCATCGCCGATCACATCCCTGAGTGAGGACACGGCGGTGCTCAGCGCACGCAGGGCATTCCCCAACTGTGTGTTCCACCGTGTCCTCAGGGCGGGCGACAGTAGAATAGGGTCGCGAGTATCATAAGAGCACTTTTAATAGAGACCATGATTCAGCGCTCTTTGGTGGACCTGATCCTTTTGAAATGTAATTTTCAAATTTCCACTCGACCAGCTCAAAGACTCTTAAACCCCTCTTGCGGAGAGAAGGCCCATAATTCAGCAGTGCAGTGCAGTGAGTATTCGAAGTGTTTATGATCTAACTAAAGGTAAATATATTGTAAATATAGTGCTATCTCTGTCATTTTACAAAGAATTTGTAGAGACAGAACTATACTTAAGCACGACTTAAAATTGAGTAGCGTTTGAGTATTCCGACATTAGTGTGACTCACTAGTCTAAACTACTCTTTTCTTGTACTGTTAGGTGTCAGTTATAGGTCGATGAAAACCAAAGTGTTAAGTGTCCCCATTTTAGGTTAAGGGTTACTTAAAACGACCATTAGAATCGTAATTGACGTGGCTTGTGATACTTAGGGGTGGCTCACACTTTACTAATTTTTGGCTCAACTACTCTACAACAGGTACAACTTCATGCTTATAAAATGTGTAATTAGAAACTGCCTCGTTGGCCGAGTGGTCACAATTGCGACTGCCGAGCAAGGGGTCTCGGGTTCGATTCCCGGGTCGGGCAAAGTATTATTGAGATTTTTCGAAAAATCTCAGTAGTAGCACGGAGTCTGGAATTGTGCCCGGTATATGGCAATAGACTCACCCCCTATTACATGGAACTCATAACATAAAAGTGAGTGTTACATTACATTGTACAGTGGCATTAAGTGCCGTAAAATACACCTCTGCCTACCCCTTCAGGGATAAAAGGCGTGATGTTATGTTGTATAATTAGAAACTTTCATAATATAAACTAACCGATATATCGGTGAATATATGCGCGAGGCAGGTGAAGACGTCCTGCGCGATGTTGAGCGCGTGTCCCGCCAGCGCGGGCGGCGCCAGCAGCAGGTGCAGCAGCTTGTCCAGCAGCACCGCCAGGTAGCGGGACACCGCCTCCACGCTCGCCGTCGGCAGCTCCGATATACTGCGGGTTGGAGTATTGATTGTTGTCACAACTGTTTATCTTAAACCGTCAACGTCTGCAACTGAAGTTAACATCGCAAAAGTGAAGGAAATAGTGACTGAAAATCCCCATTCAACTCTGAGAGAGATAGCCGCCGAACTTTCATCTGGGTATGAAACATGTTGCTGCTCGGCTAGTCCCAAAAGATCTGAATTTTCTCCAAAAACTCAATCGCATGAAAGTCGCTGAGGAAATGCTAGAACGAGTCAGTTCGAACCCAAAATTCATGAAACGCATTGTTACTGGTGACGAGACGTGGGTTTACAAGTTTGACATGCGAACTAGTCAACAAGCTTCGGAGTGGCGCCTTCCAACTGAACCGAAACCGAAAAAACCACGCTAAAGTCGATCAAAAGTCAAAGTCATGCTCACTGTTTTCTTTGACTATCGCGGTATTGTGCATTCTGAATTGTTACCGGAAGGTCTAACGGTAAATAAAGAATATTATTTGAGCGTTATGCGGTGTTTAAGAGAGCCTATTCGACGAAAAAGGCCAGATTTGTGGAAAGAAAGTTCTTGGATTTTGCACCACGACAATGCGCCTTCGCACAAGGCTATCATTGTGAACGAATTTTTGACTAAACACTCAACAATAGCAATTCAGCAACCGCCATATTCACCAGATATGGCTCCTGCTGACTTTTTTCTTTTTCCTAAACTCAAATTACCACTTCGTGGCACTCGTTTTCAATCGATAGAAGACGTAAAGGAGAATTCGCGACGAGAACTGAACTCAATTTCGGAAGCAGCGTTTAAAAAATGTTTTGATGAATGGATTATTCGTTGGCGCAAGTGTATCGTTTCTAAAGGAACTTTGAAGGTGATATAATTAATTTGGATGAATAATTATTTTGTGTATTATTGATCTTTTCCCGGTACTTGACAGAGTAGTACATACTTCTGTAAATACATAGGTACTATGACACAATCTAAACTAAACTAAAGCACTTAATGAAAGAGGTTCATACACTGATAGCCTATAATATACGAAAAAGATTGAGAAGAAACATTCATGTTACCTGGCCCGCAGCTCGGCTTCCATGTTGGCGAGTCCAATACGAGGTGGTATATTACCTTCCTGTACTGCCTCGCAAGCCATCGCAAATCGCTCGATGTACCCGTCCTGAATAAATAATATAAAGGTATTAAATGAGGCATAATTACTAAGATTTAGATGCATTTAATTATTTTTTTAAATTGAGAAACCAATATTCTCACATTCTCTGCTTTCAGCTATTTCAATCTCATTTTGAAACCATTTTATAATGTTATCAATTTAAAGAAATTATTTTTGTCTATCCATCCTATGGAGCATGTCTAAAGTCCACCTTATCCACGCCCTCAAATAACCGGCAACGCACTTATAATTCGTCGAATTAATTATTATGTTTGTCAGTAGCAGCGCAACAGTCGCCGCGTCGTTTGTGAATGCTGCTCATGATTATGAGCCTCTAGTATGGCTTGAAACTAGTCGAGTTTCTCGTCAACTAATTACGTGAGTAAGCCGAAAAACATAATAATTAATTTATTTTCTAAATAATACTCATACTAGTTAAACTTACCAGTGGATGTACAGTAGTGTGAGCATCGAGCGTGATGTTGAATATCGGTTTATGGTTGTCGATCCACCTCGTCCCCGGCAGTTGTACGTCGGGGAATATGTACGAGTAGTTGGGCGGGGGCTCCTCCAACATTACTGGGAGGCTGAAGTCACCGCACGTCAGCTTACCGTTACGGCATAGAGGGAGCCACTGTAGGAAAGGGGATGTGTTAGATACAGTTATTATTAATAAGTATTTTTGGTCAACTGGTTTGGTGGACTGCCTCATTGGCCGAGTGGTCGCAAGTGCGACTGCCGAGCAAAGGGTCTCGGGTTCGATTCCCGGGTCGGGCAAAGTATTACTGGGTTTTTCAAAATACTCAGTAGTAGCACGGAGTTTGGAATTGTGCACGGTATATGGCAATAGGATCACCCCCTATTACATGGGACTCATAACATAAATAGTGGAAAGTGGGTGTTACATTTAATAGTGGCATTAAGTGCCGTAATGTCTACCCCTTCGGAGATAAAAGGTTTTTAAAACTGGAAAAGAGAGAGCTTTATTAGAAAATATTGAACTCAAATCTGTGACAACACAAAAGAAAATATTGAACTCAAATCTGTGTTGTCACAGATTTGAGTTCAATATTTTCTAATTTGTTAGAGCATTGTCACATTTTGTTGCCGTTTTAAAAGTGTTCTTGTCAGAACAGAATAAGCACATTATTTACTTTGGACAACATATTAAACGAGTCTAAGAATCATAACAGAAAAAACCTGAAACCGTTGAAAAAAGTATCCATATAACAACAAATATTTTATGAACTGTAAAAACACTATAGCCTTAGACCAAAAATAAGAAGTCATTTCTAGTATCTCACAGAGTATCCAACAGGAGTCTCGAGGTTCTTCTCCTGGTCTGGCGCGACTGGCTTCCTCTGACAGGAGACGTGCAGGAACGTGAACAGTAGATGATGTTGGTCGCCCAGGTCTGCTGGGAGCTTCAGCTTTATCTCGTCGTATAGAGACGGGTTCCTAAACGCAAAGAGAATGAGATAAGTAGAGAAAAGTTATCCATGATATCCATAAAAAGGATGATTATGTTTTTGCTGTGAATCTTTATTGCATTGTTGACAATGATCCACTTAGTCTTTAGGCAACTAATATTACTGCTGTAATCTTGATTTATAAGCTTTGATTTATGTAAAAAAAAACTGTTGGCTAACTGCTATAGGTCTAGATCTATGCTCATTGCATCAAATCCAATTACTTCTCCCGCTTTAGGTGAAGCGAGAGGGAGTGTCAGGATCTTGCTGAATAAAAACCGGAATACCAGTAATATAGTCCGCAGTAGTACTTGGTCTAAGGGAAGCAAAGTAAAACATGATTCACATACTTGTTATGGTAGAGCACGGTGGTGTACGCCTCGTTGGTGAACTCTGGACAGGAACTGCGGCCGAATATAGCTGGCAGGGCGGAGCCCTCGCCCTCACCTGACATCAACTGGATGCGGACCTAGAGGAGAGGGAATAACGTTATAAACTTTTAGCGTAACACCTTTTTTAGCTTATATCTTTTATTATACCACTATTATATAGTAACAACAACGCTTGCGTAGTACGTCAGGTTACGGGAGGCTCTATCCCTCCCTCCCTCATGACGCTGGTAGCGTACATACCTCTGGTGATCCAGGTGTTCATGGGTGGCGCTGATTGCTTACCATCAGATTGCTCACAATGAATAACTTACAGTAATATTCCGCGCAGATCCAGTCCTGCTAGTGTAGGCGTTGAGGTTGATCTCCTTGACGGCCAGGTACAGCAGGCTGCGGTAGTGGTAGTGCGGCACGGCCGGGGCCTGGCTCGGGAACGGGAGGATCTCCTTGCACGGACGCACGTTGTCGTCTGAGGGAAAATAGAAAAATATAATTTATAAATAACATAACATAACATCACGCCTTTTATCCCCGAGGGGGTAAGCAGAGGTGTACACATTACGCCACTTAATGCCACTGTATAATGTAACACCCACTTTTCACTATTTATGTTATGAGTCCCATGTAATAGAGGGTGAGCCTATTGCCATATATCGGGCACATTTCCAGACTCCGTGCTATTACTGAGGTTTTTTCAAACCTAGTAATACTTTGCCCTACCCGGGAATCGAACCCGGGACCCTTGCCCGGCAGTCGCACTTGCGACCACTCGGCCAATGAGGCAATTTATAAATATTAGTGGAAAAGTAGAGTATTGGGTGTGTCCTTACTAGAGAAATGAGGTGATTAGATGGATATTTATTATACAACAATCACAAGATGTATTTTGCTAAACATAGGTCTCCCCTTCTTCACGACTTCAAGACAAATGAAACACCTTTTCGATATGTCAGAAACGATTTTGTTTCGAATTGCGATATTATGCGAATATGCGATGCGTTATTCAATAGCATGTGAATTTTTATTACATTGCAAAAATTATGAAAACTAAGTATACCGTGAAATCAATGAAAGTTTAAATTATTTTAATATTTCATTGTGTTTCAGTTAGGAAAATATTCAATTATGGATTTCGAAATGCCAAGTGCACGTAGTCAATCTAAGTTACCTCGTAAGATAGACCTACATATGTAGTTAAATTAAGCACCAAAACTAAAAACCACACAAATGACAATACAATTTCAACCATATCTTACCGCCATAAGGATGTAATTTCGCGAGCTCTGGCGTGAGTCCATTCTTTAACTCTTCAGGACAAGGAGACACCTCAATCTTCAAAGTGCCGGGGATGCACTTGAGCTTCTTAGGCGCAGAGCTGGGCCGCTTTATCTCAGCCAGGAACTTGTACAGGTCTTCATCGCGGAGTTTGTCTGTTTCCTGAGAAAATGGGATACATTTTTATAATAAAGAGAAGTAAAACGACTTTGGCCAGTATATTGGTACCATGTAAAGATGTATTTATATCATATGTTATGTTTATCATATGTTATATAATATGTTTTCTTCATGGAGTAATTTCATGGATTCCATGACATTTCACACTATTTTAACAATTTCATTGTATTTTTGTTCAGGAGTTGAGTCAAACAGTGACTGTATGTTCTATAATCGCCTATAATTTTAATCATGTATATATTCGTTCTGAAGTTTCACTTAGCAAATGGAGAATACTTAAGCCAAAAACTAAGCGAATTTCGCTATAGAAAAAGCTACTGGATTAACTGACCCTTATTTTAACGTGTCTTAAATTTAATATTATGTCGGCTTACCCACGTAACTGTTTGACAAGGAACTCGACTAGTTTCAAGCGTGAGTAAGTCGAAAACATAATACTTACTTAATTTAGTGTATCTTAAATGCCTGTAGAATTGAGTAGTTTCCAGGGTATCAAAATTAAAAATCTAATTAGTCCGTCAGTTATATAATGAAAAAATATATTAGACACGTATTTTTTATTTTGTCGTATTAAGTTGCAATACTTAGATAAAATGGCGCGAAGTTTAGGAGTGGGAGGTCGTTACGTCATAACGTGCTACAAAATGTGCCACGCTGTGACGTCACACGATTTTTCAAATTAATATATCTTCGAAAGTATTTAATTTCGTGAGAAAAGAAAAAATACGTGTCTAAAGTTTTAAATTAATGTACCAGACGGACATTAAAATAAAATTTAGGAAACTAACCTATTGTAATTGAGTTGATATAAAAGTTTTAACAATACCGAACCTGTTTAAAGAAGCTAGTGACGGTAATAGCGATGGGTTTGAATGAGTCGAGTTGGTTGGCGAGGTCGTCTGCATGATGGGTGGGCGCGCGTCTCTCGATGGATCCCTTGCGAGTGAGGGAGCCTCCCACCTCGCCGGCACGACGACGGAGCTGCTCCAAACTGCTTGAGGACGCTTTACGGTCTATAGTGGAGATGATGAAGATAATATATTATGAAGTTACTATTATATATTTAAAAACTAGCAACCCGCCCCCGCTTCGCACGGGTGCAATATGCATGTATTATACATATAAACATTCCTTAAGAATCACTCTATCTATTAAAAAAGACCGCATCAAAATCGTTTGCGTAGTTTTAAAGATCTAAGCATATATAGGGACAGACAGACGGCGGATAGCGACTTTGTTCTATACAATGTAGTGATAATACATTCAAATGTTTACCAACAGCTTAAAAATATTGCTGTGAGTACAAAATTGATTCAAATTGATTTGATGAAGAAGAAGCTTAAAAAGTTGATTAGCCTTTCAGTATTCAGTCTTTTAAAAATAGAAAAATAGATATTATTTTAGTATCTTTAACACGAGACTATACTTTATTACAAAAATTATTAAGGGGCCGTTCAAGTATTACGTAAGCCCATATAATCCAAAGGATGATGGGGGGTAGGGGAGTCTAGATGATAATTACGTCATCGGTAGTTATTTACTTTTTTACACAATTGGCAACCCTCATATTGAAATTATAATTTACAAGCAAATACCGACAAAGAACTAGACATTATGGTATCTATGAGAATATTAAAATTACAATATAAAAAAGATATAATTTAAAATGTTTACCTAAGCAAAGGGGGAGGGGGTAAGATCTTTGCTTACTTTTGCTGACAAGGGGGATGAGGGGGGGGGGGGTAAACAATTGTAGAAAATCTGCTTACGTAATATTTGGACGGCCCCTAAATATTTTTGACACATAAGTGTTATATGACGAATAAATATGCAAACTCGAAGTCAAAGTCAAAGCATTTATTTCAAATAAACCATAATTTGGTACTTTTGAAACGTCTATAAATACAAAATGAATAATAATCTGTCAGTCAGTCCGTCAGTGAAGCTAGGTGAAGCTAGGTGCTCATTCCAAAATGCAGATTGGGATGGAGAAGAACGAGCAAGAAACTACATTCCTTAATCTTTTTAAAAAAGTATGTTCTACAATGTCTCTGATACATATTCCAATACTGTACGCATATGTGAGAACAATGCAAAGACACGCTTGATGTATTATAGGCACTAATTACAAACCTTACTAAAATAAAAAAATGCAAACGACGACATGTGCTGGGGTCGTAACAAAATAAACAAATTGTAAGGGAGGCAAACAACAACACGTTGATCTGGGAATATGATAATGTTGATGGTGACGAAGACGATGATGAAATTTCGAAGCAGTAAATAAAAGCCAATTACCAGATGCACCTTCTGCGTCAGTTCCCAGGTCAGCGTGGAAATTAAGCACAATATTATATTTATTTGTTACAGCCAAACATCCATTTTTAGTTAGTTTAATATATAGAGACAATATTTTTTCGCCGTATGACTGTTAACAGTCATAATTAAGTATGAGATTGTACGGTTGGCGCGGTGGCTGGGCAACTGATTGCCGCGCAACGTGTCGTGGGTTCGATTCCCGCCCGGAACAACTCTTTGTGTAATCCACAGATTGTTGTTCCGGGTCTGGGTGTCATGTGTATGTGAACTTGTATGTTTGTAAACGCACCCATGACACAGGAGAAAATTCAACTGTAGGGCAATTTCTTTTATTAAAAAAATGTCTCCACGAGTAGATTAGGTACTTGGGAAACACACTTTTTGTATATTTATACTAATTTAAAGCTTACTGACTACTTTTAAAGTATATATTTGTTCGACAACCTGGATCTGGATATGGCAAAAGCTATAGTGTCCGAGGTATACTGCTATCTTTCTACTACAAGCTCTTTTAATATACTTTGATGTAATGTTTTCATTAACTTCCATTATACATTCATGCAGGAACAAGAATATTGTATGACAATAGGTATACAGTAAAGTATGTACATGGAAAACGAATGATAAGTTAAGATTAGAGAAAAGGAGGTGAAATAGTTTTCAAAGAATATTTGTAGGTACTCGTTAGCTGAGTGGTCGCAAGTGCCGGGCAAGGGGTCTCAGATTCGATTACCGGGTCTGGTACCGGTACCGGTGATGTTATGTGTTAAACGTAATTCTCATTTTTAACACATTTTAGCCCACATTAAGTTGATCAATAACATGTTTTATTAATTACAGTTTACACATGAGATAAAACGAGACCGCGTTCGGCGCTCTGGTTGGTCGGCTCCAATGAACCAACCTTTGTGTATGAGCTCCTAGCACGACCTGAGCTAGTCGAGTTACCTCGTCAATCGTCAAAAAAGATTCACTGTCATAAGTATCTCAGTGAAACCAGTGAATTTATTTCTGCAAATAGGCTAGAAGGCAGCATTTTTACACGTCAATTTTATCAAGCGAATGATGGGTATTTCGTAGCTGACTCACCGAGACTATTAGTATTGGTGGCGGGCGTGAGGCTGTCCTTGTCGTGGTCCCGCTCGAGGCTGTTGGAGCCGCTGAGGATGTTCAACAACGACACCGCGCTCCACGCCAGCGGCATGCGGTACTTGCCCAGCCGCCCGCACGCCGCCGCCGCGCCCGCGCGGACCTTCTCGCGGTTCTAGACAGGAGCAGCTCGAGGTTGGTACTGAACATATTATTTTGGAAGAGCCAGGAGTATGGCAATGGACCAGCAGTGCTAAAAGACTGGCAACAGACTTGTACCTCCTAGTGTTGCCATTAAGTCTTCATGCGGTAATGATTGCTTACCATCACGTTATACGTCGGCTCGTTTACCGCTCTATCACATAAAAATATGATTGACATTGTCACTAGACGTTGGCCAGGGTCTGGATAGTGAAACAAAGTTTAATGTATCTCAGACAGATGAGCAACTATTTCTAATTACGTTATAAAATTAATCAGACTGCCTCGTTGGCCGAGTGGTCGCAAGTGCGACTGCTGGGCAAGGGGTCTCGGGTACAATTCCTGGGTCGGGCAAAGTATTACTGGACTTTTAAGAAAATTCTCAGTAGTAGCACGGAGTCTGGAATTGTGCCCGGTATATGGCAATAGGCTCACCCCCTATTACATGGGACTCATGACATAAATAGTGAAAAGTGGGTGTTACATTGTACAGTAGTATAATGTGCACCTCTGCCTACCCCTTTGAGGATAAAAGGCGTAATGTTATTCATTCATTCAATGAATCAGATTTTACCACAGTTTTTTGTATATTATAAAACGCAGAATCAAAATAACATCTCAACAATAAAACATTTTAACAAACCTTATCATCCTTGATATACGGCTCAACACACTCGTTGACATCGCCTTGTAGGACTTTCTCGACGCGGACGACGAGGAACATGTCGGGCGAGGGGTGCATGAGGTCGAAGACCGCGCTGCGGCTGAGCGTGGACAGGTCCGCGTGCGGCACGTGCGCCGACAACATCTGCCGCGTGCACTCCGAGTTCAGGTTGAAGTAGAAGTTCTCCGACAGTTTCTTCTTCTCCTTCGCGTCGTACACCGCCATGGATGCGAAGAGAGGTTCTACGTCTAGTTCTAGCCTGGATTGGGAACATATTTTTTGATTTTTAAAACTGCTTTAAACTGTGATACACCAAGCGGTCACCGGTGACCGCAACCTATTGTTCTATAATTGTGTCTACAAAACCGGTACTCGACGAGTTAATAGTGAAATAAATGATTTGCTGTTTTATGTTATAAGAGGAATGTCTGCTCACAAAAGAACATCACAGAATAGAGTCCCAACTTTATTATTAAATATAATTTGTGATCCAGAATCAAGATATTATGGAACTGTAGTTGAGTTAGATGCTATAAGGTTTTTGATTTAATCTTCAAATCGAACAGTCAACCTAATATTAATTTCAAAATTGATTACAATAAAGCACTTTAACTAATTTAACAATAAAAATGTAATGTAACATAGAATTGAATGAAGCTATTGACACGTAACAATGAACAACACTTTGTCTGCTTGTATACTCACTTGAGCTGATGGCAGACCACCAAGATCCTGTGCCCCATGATCTCGCTCGGCATCTCGGCCGCCAGTCTCCGTTCTACCGCTTCCTCCTCATCCAGGTACGGAGTGTATAATCCTAGGAGATCAGCTTGACGGTTCTCTAACCTGGAGGTGGAAAATTTTAATGTACGGTATTAAAGTATGCATTAGGATAAACTTAAAAACAAAAGAATAATGATTAAGCTATTTCTATCAAGACTAAGATCTGTCTAATAAGACCTTTCAAGATTTGTGACTAAAAGTTAAACGAAACTTACCTCCTAGCTTCATTGAGAGCATCAATCTGTTCCGGAGGCTTCCTTTCAAAGAGATCCGGTAGAAGTGGGTCTGAGGAGGAGCTCCGGAGGTCGAGGCTGGCCCACGAGCCGCGCGGAGTAAGGGTCTCGTTGCAGGAGGACGAGGACGACATCGACGCCACTGACTGGCGCCCGCTTGATGGTTGAGATTCAGACTGCAGATGATAATATAAGTCGTTGAATTTTTTTTTTTATTTTTTTTTTTTTAAAACTTTGCCCCACACTAGGATTTTCTCCTGTGTCGTGGGTGCGTTTACAAACATACAAGTTCACATACACAGTGACACCCAGACCCGGAACAATAATTTGTGGATCACACAAAGTGTTGTTCCGTGCGGGAATCGAACCCGCGACACGTTGCATGGCAGCCGGTTGCCCAGCCACTGCACCAACCGTGCAGTCAATTGCGAATTCTTAACTAAGACTGATGAATTTGGAAAAAAATCACGCTTTGTTACAACGAAAATTATACTTAATTCGGATGGATAATTTTTCAATGGCTGACGAATTGACGATGCTGATGAATTGGAGTAGAATATTAAAACTTTTGTGAGATAGTGAATTAATTATTATGTTTTCGGCTCACGCAACTGTTTGACGAGGAACTGGAATAGTATAGCAGCGTGATAGTTGCTGCGTCGCGTGTCGCTGTTGCTCATGAACATGAGCCTCTAGCACGGCTTGAAACTAGTCGAGTTTCTCGTCAAATAGATACGTGAGTAAGCTGAAAACATAATAATTAATCTTAGAATAAATAACAAAAGAGTTTCTAACCTTTAAACAAGGTTTATCATACCTGATGTTCCTCAATACTAGTTGGCTCGGCGTCCACCTCGTAATGGTGCTTAGGGCCGGCCTGCAGGCGCTCCAGGCGCTCGCTGAGCCGCTCTCGGCCGCAAGCGGAGCCCGAGTACGCGCGGTACTTGTACTCCACCACCGTGTAGTCCGTCGTGTAGGATCGGATGCAGTCGCGGACGAACATCGGGGCTTTTGCACTGGTTAATGTAAATAGAGAAGATTATTTATGAGATAGGGTTGTAAACGATCGGATGGATTACCTGATGGTAAGCAATCGGCATCGCCAAGTGCGTTACCGATTCAGGAATTGGAGAAAAATAGCTCCGTTCTCATAAACCTCTCTATATATTATTTTTAATGAATAAGCCGGTATCCGAGCAGACAGATCACTTGATGGTAAGCAATCAGCGCCGCTTATGGACACCAGAAACGCCAGAAGTGTTACAAGTGCGTTACCGGCCTTTTGGGGATTAGGAATTTGAGGATACTTGGGGGTTGGAGAGGAAGTTAAGTGGGTTCCAGTAACCTCACTCACACAAAGAAACACAACGCAAGTGTTGTTTGACGTCGGTTTTCTGCTCGGCGGTGGTATCACTCCGGTCGAGCCGGCCCATGGGCTCTCCCACACTTCAGTGATATTCTTATCTACCCATGCTTCAAGAGCAGGTAGAACTACAAATAAACTAGCGTGTTTTTCTTGGATGGATTGGATAGGGTCCAGTGGTCGGCAAAGCTGTTGCCGAGTAACGGGTGTCTCAAATTCAGGGTCGACGCCCGTATCCCGGATTCGGTAATCCGAATTCACAATTTAGATTATAATTTTTAAGCGTCCCTCTCGAAAAGCGTTACATCTATTAAGTTTACCTCTACTTACTTATGGAATAAAAATATGAACATGGGCAAAGCTCTTTAACTACCTCAGCGGAATAGGTACAATCTACTAGCATTTTTTTAAATAGAAAGTTTTTAAAAATAGAACTACACGCTTTTAACGCACAACAAATGTGTTGATTCACTCAACCAGATACTAAAAAAGGTCATTCTTGTCAACAAAAATAGCCCATGATCACGCCATACGCCATCACAGGGTTATATGTGTTGAGTGGGTTTATATTGAACTAGTGGCTGTCTGTGGCTTTACTTCTGTTATATGTTTTTTTTTTAACTGGGAAAAATCATCGAATGACTGCTCCCGCCTGGGTGAGGCGGGAGGGAGTGTCAGACTCTTACTGACTAAAAACCACCCCGTTCCTTCTCCTGCACGTCGAGCCGGAGCCCCGGTTACCCGTTAGGTTCTCCGCGACTCTGTTATATGTATACAATCTCTAGAATTCATATCTTAGTTCCCTCTGTACCACACTGTATATTTATTAAATAAAGTGTGTTAAAAAGACAGAGCACTTTTACATTAGCTTATATGTCGCAAAGTAAAGAGTATGCTGATGTTTTTTTTTCGTTTATACTAACAATTTAGGATACCATACTTAGTTAACAATAATTTGATTTCATATTTAAAGAAATTAAGAATTAAATTGCTGACACTGCAATCAAAGTCAAAGTCTAAGCATTTATTTCAATTAAACCATAATTTGGTACTTTTGAAACATCAACAAATACAAAATAAATAATAGTCTGTCAGTCGGTCCATCAGTGAAGCTAGGTGAAACTAGGTGCTCATTCCGAAATGTAGATTCGAATGGAGAAGAACGAGCAAGAAACTCCATTCGTTACTCTTTTAAAAAAGTATGTTCTACAATGTCTCTGATACATATTCCAATACTGTATGTATATGAGAGAACAATGCAAAGACACACTTGACGCATTATACTAATTACAATTTACAAGAACCCACTCTATTAGAGGATTTAGATGCACTATTTTAAAATATCATAATAAATACTTACAGATCTTCATCAGGCAGGATATGGTTGATGGTTCTGATGCGGCGGGGCACGTTGCAGAGCTCCATGTCCACAGCTGGGTAGGCCAGGGGGTCCTTCTCCCCCATGAGCCGGTCACACACCTCCTCATAGTCAGGTGGCTCAATCATGTCGCACAGTGATACCTTGTGTTTGTAAAGTTAAAAAGTTATTGGGTATATATTAATAATATTAAATTTACATATTATGTAATTTTATTTTGTTGCAGGCCCAGAAGGAGATTGCAGGATGAACTTGATGCTTATAAAAAGGAATGGCCACAGAAGGCTATAAGAGACAAGTGGAAGGAGGGTAGGGAGGCCTTTGCCCTGATGGCCACAAGTAATAATAATTTTGTTATGTTGCTGTCAGGTCACAATTTCACAAGCAGATTAAATCCAGACTCGGAACAGGAATTTGTTAAACTGTTTTCTCACACAGAACTTGAAGATTACTTGTTAATTCATGATTTTGATTTTCTATATGTTGATTGTAATATTTTTTTTAATGGCGTAAGCCGGTAACCGAACACACGGATCACCTGATGGTAACCAATCGGCGCCGCCCATGGACACCCGAAACACCAAGGCGTTACAAGTGCGTTACCGGCCTCTTTGGAATTGAGAATTTGAAGATTGTGGAGGATATGGGGATTCAGAAGACTAAGAAGACTCCCTAGTCCCTCCCTAGGGGGGTAATTGGGCCTCCGGTAACCTCACTCACACGACGAAACACATTGCAAGTGTTGTTTCACATCTGTTCTGTGAGACCGTGGTATCAGTCTGATCGAGCCGGCTCATTCGTGTCGAAGTATGGCGAGTCATGATTTTGATTTTCTTTACGTTGATCATAATAATGCAATTATATTCTCTATATCAAATACTTGTTAATTATCCTTCAAGTTATGTACAAAAGATGATTATTGTCTGCGTTGTTATACTGGTTTAGTGTGTACGTACATGCTCAACATGAGGGTTGAAAAGTATTTGTTTGGTTTAAGTTTTAAAAATGTCAGTAGGGACACATTATACAGCATATTGCAACTACATGATACAGTAAATGAAATGACTAATACATGCCATTATTTACAATTTGGTGTTATTCACAATGAATGATTTCAGTTTAAAGCTGTAAGTAGTGTTAATAGACAAAAGAATGGCACTTTTCACACAAGCAAGTAGCTATTGATTAAAATATAAGTTGAAGAAGCATTTAATATTGAATTCAAATATGGTACTAATTATAACATAATGGTTCTTACATGAAAATACAGAAAGTTATAAGAAAATGATGACTGAATTTTTTTAAATGTCAGCTGCGATAAAATTTCCTAGAAATATACAACATAGTACTAACAGATAGCACTAATACAGAGACAAACTCCTAATAATACTTTGTTTATGTCCAAGTTTCAATAAATTAGTGTCACTAAACTATAGTTATTAGGAAACAACAATATGCAAGTATTGGCTAATAGAATGATAATATTAGTATGAAGTAACTGTAGCACAGACATACCAGCAATCAATTAGTAAACAAACCAAAGCACACTACTAATAAGGACAAGGAAAAGATGATTCATAGAGTTAATGTTATGATTATATTAATTCTATATTAAAAGGATAACTTACAGAAGACGAGCAACCAGATAGAGTCCCGACCTTCGACTGGTTAGAATATACCTTACGAGCCTCCCCAGCATTCCTATAAATAGGGAAAAATCAATTTTTGCCGTATTTATAAACGTTAAAAGACCGTTCATGCATCGCCAAACAGGGACAGCGCTACAAGGGCAGGAGAACCATTTACCCGGAAGATTGCTGGTATTTACGTCCAAGAGTCATCTAAAATAACTTCAATAAACTTCTTACTCAATACAAACTGTTATTTATTGTTTATTTCACATAGGATTCCGTTAAAAAACAAACATCCACGAAATTCTTGTTTACAGATTTGACATTTCCATTGATACTTTGACATTTAACTTGACAGCTTGTTCCGGGGTTGCCATAATATCGATTTTTGATAATTTCAAAAGGGTGGTCCAGTCAAAGTCAATAAGACGTACATTGTTTCAACTTTAGCACAATCGTAATCGTAAAAAGTGATGAATAATAGGAATTGATCATTCTTGATTGTCCTTTCAATTATAATTATCGTTTACTTTATAAATTTTCATAAGTAACGACTTATGGTAAATTATTGAAGTGTAACTTCATAGGATGTATTTTAACTCTCTCAAGTTGAATGTTTTAATGAGCTTGAACTTGAGCCGCAAGGTCACGTTCAAGTCTTATAACTGTGTCCAGACAATGTCAAGTTGCTAGTAATCTTGGAAGAAAATTCAAGACTGTAATTTCATTCCTGTTTAGTCTGGAAATATTGAAAAGTGAATTTGAAACTAAGTATTGGTAGGTAATTATTTGAGAAAGTAAGTTATGTACCTACGCCCAATACAATACTGTTGCAAAATAATATTTTAGTATAGAAAGCGAGAAGTTCTATTTTAGAACATACATTCATTGAAATAATGGGGTTTTCGAATGTCATTACAAGTGCTACATACTAATTAAAAGCTTGCAATAAGTATATCACATTATGGCTATCTTACGGTAATGTTATTCAACATAGACATAATATAAATATATAGATCTTCATGCTAGTTTCCTGTTGGGCTAGGCTGAAGCAGTGAACCGGCGAATAACATGCTCCTGGTTTAACTACGTAGGTAACAGTTTTTATTTAGGTACCTATTTCATATAAGTACTTAGGCAAAAAAGACGAACTATGTATAAAAGTATTGTTATGGGTTTCTAAGTTACGAAAAATCCATTTATGTCTTGGAGAACAGCTGAATCATTACAGTTTTTGTACATACGTAACATACAAATTACACAATAGGCAGTCCTTGGGCTTTCGATCCCCTCATCTTTAAAAGTGCTTTATCTGGTTTGTATGAGTTCGTATAATTATATACATATATCTCAAAAACTATTAATTTTCATCGTTATTTTATATAGTAGCCGATATTAAATATATTTTTAAACCCAAAAAAGGGTAAACACGAGTCACAAAACTGCTCTTAAAATACCGTATAACGCTCACGTGACACTCATTTTAAACCAATCATGTCATAGGTCCATCGAAAAATTCCAATAAATAACTTTCGGACCCCGAACATCTTACTTAGCACTCGTACTTGTGTACTTGGCTGTCCAAATAAAAAAAATCTTTTAACTATCTATATTCATATCCCACAGTATAAAAATCTGGGAATGAGAAACTGCGCATATGAATAATCCGTTTGTTCTATTCGAGCACGTTTTGAAATGTAATTGGATTGTCGGTCGCGTGGCGCGGGCTTCATCGGCACGGGACCTCGCACGGGCACAGATTATAAACGCACTTGAAAAATATTCTCTAGTCTCCGCACAGCCATTGATTCTTCCTAGTCGCTGGAAAATGTGCTAGTTTTAATGTTTAATGTAGATATTCAAGATAACTTACTTTCTATTTAGAATAGGTAAGAACTAAAATATGGAGTCCGGGAATTGAAACCCCGATGGACTGGTCGACCGTGCAGCAGACGGCCGCCCAGCCACTGCGCCATCGACCCCATACTATCTCTAACCTGCCTTTGATTATAGAAAACCTTGTTATGTTAAAGTGACCCATAGTCCATCAGTTCCCCGCCACGGACAGTAGATTTTTTTATATTAGATGGGCCGACGTTTGACCACTATCTCGCCTAGTGGTAAGCGATGATGCCGCTTACGATTGAGCACGTCTACCCTATAAGCAACCTAGAGTCACTCGGGCCTTGAAGAACGCAGGTTATATGTATGTACCTGCTTAAGCCTAATATCTTTAGGTATGCAGATGACAGCAGGCGTTGAAAGGTATGAGTCCGATGCGCGGACTAACGAAACACAGATTCAAAGTCTAAGAGAATTCATGATCGAACGTCTGGAACGATCGATCTTGGTCAAGTTCAATGGTGGCAAAATATGGTATAATGATGATGATAAACTAAATGAACCACGATTCTAAGTCAAACAACAACATTTTCAATACGCTGAAATAGATCGACATCAACAGTTTCATTTTTGTTACGTAATTGTTCTTACCCTTCACTTTCAGTAAGAAAACTTCAGCGAGTCTGGAATGTTAATCTTTTGTAAGAAAATTTTAATGAAATTTATTAAACTTTAATTGTGTTACTGTACTAAGCTCCGCCCGCTGTCTGTTTGAAGTTGACGGAGCCCTTCAACAATTCTGTTTGTATACGTTTCGACTTATTTATTCCCTACTTTATTAATATTACCATTCAGAATTCTGCCTGTTAGGAGTTCAGGACTGATTAAGCATTACCTAATAATTTAATAGATTGCGAAATACTTATTCAATCCAGAATAACTAAAAATTACGAGTTACTTGCGTAAATATACTGAGAAAAGTTCGACTAGTTTCGAGTCACGAAGGGACTCTTCCTCATGAGCAGCGTGGGTGGTTGCAGCAATGTCGCCCAGTCTACTGAGCCGTAATTTGTTATTTCTGAATGTCCCACCGTAAAACTCTGACAACGAGCATAATAATCACAGAAAAATTTAAAATAAGTAGACTTATATCTTTAGACATAGAATTTCGAAATCAACACTATAATACACAAACAACTGGGAAAATGATTCGTTTTTATTCCGCTGAAGGAACGAATTTGCAGCATACAGTATGTAGGTAGCACCGCCCTCACACCTGCAGATAAATGCTCATGCAACAGAAATGCGACACAAAACACACACGACATATCACATAATCGAATCACACTCGACATCGTTTCGTTTCGCTCCTCCAGTTGACTTCCTCAGGAGTTGTTAACTCTGCGGCTCCCGCGGCTCGATTTCTATTTCTATAATATATCAATACTATACTATTTTGTTCAAACAGAAAACTAAACTTGAGAAATAGTGATAGAAGAATAGTGCAAAGTGCAAGCCAAGACCACTCGTCCAATGATTCAGTTCTAACTTCTTCAGCCAACCTTTCTAAGTAGGTACTTCTGCTTTTTAAGACTCAGCTTTCGCTTATAAAGAAATCTCTATCTAATAGTTAACTTCAATAATAAAATAAATTATACGTATAAATGTTCTAATTCCCGCACCACCCTCCTACGTGTTTGTAAATCGTGGACATTTTCCTCAATTGAATATTACGCCATTTTGTGGCACGGTACAGCAATTTATATATATTACGTTGTGAATGAAAATGTGATATTTTTATTTAGTTGAGGCTTTATCATACTTAAGTAGGTTTAATACACGTAAGTACTCGTATTTTATTTTGACGGGAAAATCAACGTTTACCTCACGTTGCCCTTGTTTATTATTGTACATGAAATCTATTTTAGTAACAAATAGTACCTAGAGAGAATACCACATATTATGTCTGAGCTCGAAATCGTTAATTCAAGTCAATTGAGGTACCTACATCTACTTACGACTCATAATGAGATAGTAAGCCGATTCAATTCCAGAAAAACTAAAGACGTTTGAAGTTGATGTAGTTATGTTGAATACTTAAATAAACGACGACTTAAAAAAATATGTTTATTAAATTATTAGTATGTCGTTATATTAATCTATACCTAATTATTGTCGCGGAGAACCTGACGGGTAACCGGGGCTCCAGCTCGACGTGCAGGAGAAAGAACGGGGTGGTTTTTAGTCAGTAAGAGTCTGACACTCCCTCCCGCCTCACCCAGGCGGGAGCAGTCATTCGATGATTTTCCCCCATTAAAAAAACCTAATTACCTATTATTTATTATAATTAAAGTATGTAGGTACAACCTACATTTTCAAATGAGCGACCTCGCCAACGGCGGTTTGTTATATCTTGTGAACGATAAATACAATATTGTAATAAAATTGAATAGTAGTTAATACAATTACCTCTAGATTCACAGAAGGGCCCAAAGTCAAAAGTTTACAACAAAAACTAGTGTTGAAACAAAGTTGCAGAGGTGGCCCGTGGACTCGTCTCTAACTGAATTAAAATCTGCTTTTCTCGCGGCCTGCCCCGCCCAAGTACGCAGGGCGGCTAACCACCCTCAGTGTGCACCGCGCCTCCAGTGAGAACGCTTGTCTCTTCGCCAAATTAATAATAACATAGATTTAAAAACATTGTTTGCTTTTGCATAAATTAAAACATCACTCGTACAATATCTAAAATTCAAATATCGAACTTCTCAGTGTTACCATTTAGTGTTGTGTTTTGAATTTCGAATATATTAATTTCGTTCGCAATAAAATGTGCATTAAGTCGATGGTCGCACAATTTTAATTTTTTTTTATTCAGTCGGACTGCACCTCGGTTTAGAAAAGGATTTGATTAAATAGTATTTACTAAAAGATACCTACCAACTTAAAAATTGACTTGAACATTTTAAAGTTTTTACAAACAATTAGATAATTTTAAGGTTATTGTAAATTGTTAAAATAAAATAAGTAATAAGTGAATTAAATAGGATTTATAAAGTTAAGAACAGTGCAACAGGTGACCGAGACGACACTCGACATGATTTTATACGATGTAAGTAATCACTATTTACTATTACAATAATTTTACTCACATCAAACTTGTACCACTTGTATACACTATTAATGAATATTTATGGATAAATTACTTAATAAAATTAACAAAGAGTAGGTACTAAATACACAGATACTTGAATACTTGAATACTTGAATGTTCTTTTAGTTTAACTTGCCGACAGATTTCATTCATGAAAAACATGAAACTTACAATGATATTATACAGCGTGCATACAGACAAATAATATACAAATAACAGAATTTTATTTATACGTGTATCACTATTTTCTACATAATTGCAACACCAAATATACCACAAGTGCATTACAGACAATGTAAGAAAAGTTTAGATAATTACACCATCGTAACCGGGAA